GCTTAATCAGTGGCTAAATAAAGAGCAATACTCCTACATTAAAAAAAATAGGGGGACGCCAGGATCAGGAACTTCCTGCTCAAGTTTCTGTGGCCTTCATCCTTCTGGGAAGAAATTTGCATGGGTCACCACTGACCCCCCTCCAGTGGCCCTTGGCTGGCACCTGCCCAAACTCTTTTCTGGGAACTGCCTGTGTCATATTCTCAGTGAGTGATTTCTGACAGGGGCAAGGGGGTTTTCCCCTGGCTGGAGAGCTGACACCTGACACCTAGGGACACCTGGAATGCCTTGGACCCTGCGGAGGGGTGTGGGGTCTCAAAACTGGTCTGGAGATGCTTGTCTCACTCTGGGAAGGTCTGGCTCTGTGAGGGGAGGATCTAGAGGTCCTGAGAAGGAGGAAGGGGAGGAGGAGGAAATGGAGGTGGAGGAAGAGGACTTATCCAAGGAGATAGAGGCTCTTTGTCTCTGTGGTTCTTTGTAAACTGGGCACATTTGGCAACAAGACCTATGGGTTAATAAAGCCGCAGTTTCCTTGCCGCTGTCCCTGGGGGCCGAGCCCCCCTCCTGGTGGGAGCTCCATCACCCACAGATGCCAGTCAGGTGTCTTCTGACTGTGGGCTCTATAAAGCAAGTTGAATTGGGCCCATGTGAACCCCTTTATCAGAAAGTCATTGTCGCTATGATGGGTTCTGGTGAGGACTGGGTCGGGGGTGGTGAAACAGGGAGCACTTTGTCTATCTCGTCTTCATTCTTGCCCACTCTGCTCATTACTTAGGGGTTCATTATTTAGAATTTAGCACAAGAACATCCGTCCACACCAAGAGGGGTCCCTGGATGGGGCAGCAGGCAAGTTGCCCTCTGGGTGACTGGGGATACTGGTTTGCCAGTGTTCTTCTCCCGGAGGTGCTTCCAGGGGATACAAACATGGTGTGGGGGAGGGCTGGGCAGAGGATCTGCAGAAGGGGTGTTTAGTACCTGCTGTTCTCCCTCCTGATGAGATCTATGAGAGCCGGGACTGCCCTGGCCCCTGGTTCCTGCCTCCTGAGCTCTCTGAGTGTTCTGGGCCCCAGCTGTGAACCTAATGGAACCCTCAGGGCCATGACAGGCAAGTTTCAGCTCACCCGTTTAGAGACTGGGGGTAGTGGCTTTCTTAACTCACAGAACTGAGGCTAGATAGCTCTGCTGGAGTTGCAAATCCATCCAAGCATTAAGGCTTCTGATCTCTTTCCTGAGACGGCTCATCTCCCACATCAATACTGCCGGACCCCGAATGAGTCTAAACAATGACAAACAGGCAGGGCATACATTAGCATTTCCAAATTTCCATGGTGTTCCTGCTTCCACCATAACTGATTTCAAGTCAGTTGTGGTCTTATAACTCATCAGTTATGGTCTTATAACTGGTCACAAATCCCCTATTTAACCAATGGCTCTACTAGTCCAGTCACTAGGTACCACTGGCAGAAGGCAATAAGGCCTGGGGTTTCCTGCTGGCCTGGCTGGAGTCCATATGTGAATCCCTTTTCCTTTTATGTATGTGTTATGTATGTATATATGATTTCCTTTTATTCCTTTTCCTTTTCCATATGCAGTGTTCCTTTTCCTTTTAGTCCACCTGGATCTGGTGCCCAGATCTTACTTCCTTACCAACACTCCCCTTAGGATTTGAAGCTAGAGGACACTGCAAGGGGGCAGGGTGTGAGGTTTATTGCCTTATTAGGTAAAGGCCAGTGTGAAAGGTCTGTTAATTCCTGAGGTGGAAAGGGCATAAGGCTGGGGAACAGTTAACATCCTTCACCTGTCTGACATGCTAACACCAGTGGTTTCTACCTCAGCCACCTTCTTTATGCCACTAACATTCAAACCATTGTCTCAGCGTTTGAAAAGCTGCATCCTACTTCCTACAAGTGCCTGGAGTTCTGGCCCAGTGACTGCACATTGGAGGCATGCCATTGGTCATGCTGAATTAATGGGTAAATGAATGGTTTGCATATGCAGGCTTGGGTGGTGAAGTCTCTTTCAGTCTCTTTCAGACCGGACACATTTCTGGCAGGATGCTTCACCTACTCCCAGCCTGTTCTTCCTCTTCTTCCTCCTTCTCATGCCTTCATTTCTTCAACAAATATTGATGAGGTGACTATCACATGCACAGGGCTCGCTGGCCAGAGGGCTGGAGGCTGCTCTGAGCCTCTTTGCTTAATGAACTTGGTGATAAATAGGAGGGAATGATTGGAGGGAGCAGACAAGTTGCTCAGACGTACTGAATTTAGGAGGGTTCAGATGTGCTGTCCTGAGGCAGTTGGAAAACTGATGTGGAGGTGGAGAGAGGAGATGGTTTTGCTAACTTTTATCATTAGCTCCAGGCCAGAAAGCCTCCAGTGACCTCTATCTTCCTTCCGACTCAGGTAATTGTTCTCTGACTAGGAAGAACAACAAAGACTCTTTATTTGGCATCCCTCTAATTGGAACACTTCACTTACTGAAATCCTACCCTTCAGTTAGTTACCCACGTCAAATGCTCTTCCTCACACTCCTAGAGATCCCTCCTGGTGGGAACTGAGCATCCTCCCTCCTCTGTCTCCCATGAGCACCTTCTCTTGATCTCAGATGACCTGAGATCCCTCCTGCTCACTGTGCCATGAATTTCTGAAGGAAAGATTCCCTCGACCCTCTGCCCCACTTGCACCCTGTCCCATGCATAGCATCCCTCATGGTGCCTCATGCACCAGCACTGGCATAAATAAGTGAATGAATGAATTGAACAAATATTGATTGAACTTTGACTTTCTAAATAGACCTACTCCCTGATCAAAGTCTTTCTTAGTGGCCCCAGAGGATTGTTCTTTCTGTCTCAGAGCAGCTGAGCACATTTCTGTCTGGGACCAGGTTGTTCTTAGCAGAGACAGAGAGAAAGCATCTACTCTTATGCCTCCTGGGCACCCCTTAAGCTCAGTCTTCAGTTTGTGGCCTCAGATACTTTGTGTTCCTGCAAATACCATAATAAACATAATAAACAGGAGGCATGTGATCTTCTAACTTTATTTCTCCTTATCAGCATGCTGAGATAGAGATATGGTTGTAAAGCATCTCCATTCTTTTATAATCAAGGAAAAGCAACATCAGATTGCTAATTTGGGTACAAAGATGATTCAGGGCTCCTGGGAGTTGGTCAATTTCATATTTCCTCACCTTTTTTTTGAAATAGCCTTTTGCAATTATTGATGAAAGCAGCTTTTAACATTGCGAGATTGTGTTTCCAAGCAACAAGAGACCCTGATTCCTCTCACTTCAGAGCCCACCTGGTTATTCTGGTGCTGGACCCTGAAGCTCACCCTGGTGCCCAGCAAGCAGAAGCCTTGCTCAAACCCCACTCTTGTGACACAGCAGCATCCAGCCTGGAATAGAGGGGTCCCAAAGCCCCTCGTAGGGTATCAGACTTGAGCTGGGCCTTCTGTGTGATCAAGGACCTGATGTATCCTCTCTTGGGTGTTAGACAGTACCCCAGTACCCAGTGATGCCTATTTGGGAATTGCTTTAGGAAACAATTTTTGTTTCAAATAGTTAAAGCAGAGTTGACCAACTTTCCAGGACAAGTAGACTTTTGAATAATGACTTGCCAGATTCTTCTACTAGGAGGTAATGTTCAGTGATCTGCAATTTTCCTCTCTTTGGTTCCTGCTTTCCCACTGAGTATCTCTTGGAACTCAGACCACCAGGATAGCCTGTCCTTTCTGAGGCCACCGTAGTAGCACTGCTATGTGTGCCTAACCTCAGCTCCAGTTGGAGGTTTCCTCTATGTGCATCTGGCTTGTGGAACACACACCACTGCCCTGCAGACCCTTGCATATCACCCATAAGCATTGACAAGATGTATTCCTAGAAGCAGAAGACTAGTTTTTAAATTTTAAAACAGCTTCCGTGCATGCAGAAGGCCTTAGTTCAATCCCTAGCATTGCAAAGTCCCCAGAGCACCACCAGGAGTGACCCAGGCGCAGAGCGGCCCCTAGTACAATCAGGTGTGGCTCACTCTTAATAAAATACAAAGAGCTTTCAGACCAGGGATGGTCAACGCTGGTTAGATCCCCAGTACCACAGTCCCCTTCCTCCAGTCCCCCAGTATCTCTAGGTGTAGCCCTGGAGGACAAGAGCTCAGTGAGTTTGGGTCCCTCACTTCACAGGGCAGAGCATGCTCTAGTCAGCACTGAATTGAAGCACCCCTCGTGGACTGAGTACTGCAGGGAGGTGACCCTGAGCATTGCTTGGGAGGACACCTCCCAAATCCCAGCTTTTGGAAACAGGTCTGTGTATTGATTATTTATATCAAAATGAGGCCCCCATCTCCCAGTCCATACTGCTACAAAACAGCAACAAAACTAGCGGCAGAACCTTCTCACCCACAGCGGACATCCTGGGTGAGACATGGCAGCCTCTGTTCCCCCTACCAGAGGCAGAGAAGAGGTGGTGGTGGCTGTGGGGAGTCCTCTCTTGCACTCGGGTCTGGGTGCTGGGCCCGAGCCGCAGAGGACGCCATCTGTTCCAATTGTCCTTAGACACACCATCCGCTCAAGGAAAGGGCAGTCAGGAGTTTAAGGTAGGGGTTCACCTCTGGACCCCAGGGAGACGAATGCGAGGACAATTCTGGGGGCCGCGACTCCTCGGGATCTAAGCAGACTTGTGTGCGTGTGTGTGTGTGTGTGTGTGTGTGTGCGCGCGTGTGCGTGTGTGTGGCGGGGGGTGGGGAGTGAGGTGTAGTGGGGAACAGGAAGAATATCTCGAGCCCTGGGCGGAACCTGGCAGATTTGAGGACTTGCAGGTAGATAGGGGTTGGTTTGCCTCGGGCTAGGAGCTCTGCCCAGGCTCAGTTCCTCCCCACACCACCTCCGATGCTTCCCCGCCTGCTGAGCCTGGTTCGTAGGTTTTTAGGAACAAGGCGGGAGGAAGCGGGGAGGGGGCGGAGCAAAGCCCGTGAGGTCACCGACCTGGATAAAGGGGTGCAGAGGGACGCAGGTGACAGAGTCTTCATTCGCAGGAGTCGGCTCAGAACCCCAGAAATGAGGCTCCTCTTCCCCACCCTGCTATTCCTCAGCGCCCTCGGTGAGTGCAGGTACCTGGGACGCCCCCATCCCCCAAGTGGGGATCCTGTCCCTACGCCAGCCGCATACGGGGGTGGTCGCGTACTTCCCGTCGGGTGGGCTCTCTTTTCTTGCACCCCGTCAGGTTCCAGCGCTCAGCCGGGTGGTCGTCCCTGCCCCCGTGCCCGGTGTGGTGGGCACTCAGTACTCCAAGCGTGGAACACTGGGCGTGGGGTTTCCTTCGGCCCCGCCCCAGCCCACCCGGGCTGCGACCCACCCAGGCTGCAACCCACTCATCTGGGATTGGCCCCGCCCACCCGAGCTATGTCCCTCCCACCCGGGTTGGGTACCGCCCACAAGCCGGGGCCCCGCCCATCAGGGCAGGGTCCCTCCCACCCGAACTCGGCCCCGCCTACATGGCCTCGGCCCCGCCCACCAAAACTAGGTCCCTCCCACCTGGGTTCTGCCCCGCCCACTAGGCCTCAGCCCCGCCCGCCAGGGTAAAGTCTTGCCCACCCGGACTGGTTCTGCGCGCTCTCCTACACCGCGGTTGTGGGAGCTGCAGCTACTCTAAAACTTCCCTGCACAGCGGCGCAGTTTCTTAAAGGTCTTCAGGAATCCTCCTCCTCCCCACTTTTATCCTGTTAGGAAGATGGGTGCCCAAAGTACCGTTACCGAGTTTTGTACGGGAGAATAAAGAAGCTCCAAGAGAGTGAGTAGCTTGCCGCAAGACGTGGTATAGGAGGCAGAATTGCAATTCCCGCTCTCAAGGCAGTGGAACTTGGGAGAGAGCCTTTCTGGGTCTTCATCAAAGAATGGTCAGAGCTGCGAGGTGAGGGTTGTGTTGACAGGGCCTCACTGTTAGAGAGCACGGAGCTGCTTTCTTTCTTGAAAGGACTAGGGGGAGCCCTAGAAGAAAATGCAAGGCTGTTGAGTTCCCTACTCCTCGGACTTCCGGACTTCCAGGGGGTCGTTCTTTGATGGGCACGTGGGAGGGGGTCTTCTTGCAGTGGGGGAGGAGTCCAGCCCCTAGGCAGTGGAATGTCAGAGTAAATCCCAGGGTGTGGATCACCCTGGCTCAGTTGCACCTCCACATTCAATTCTACTTAAATTTGTTGTTGTTGTTTGTTTTGGGGTCACACCCAGCTATGCTCAGGGGTCACTCTTGGCTCTGGGCTCAGGAATTACTCCTGGTAGTGTTTGGGTGTGAGGTGGCATTTAGGATGCTAGGGATCAACTGCATGCAAGGCAAGTGCCCTATTGCTGTACTATCTCTCTGGATCCATAAATCTTGGTTGATTTTTAAATTTAAATTTTACAATTTGTGGGAGAGCAACAAGCACCCCAAAGTGTGACTGAATCCCTTGTCCTGCCTTAGGGGGTTCTGGGGCAGGGGTTGAGAGTGGTGGGAAGGGTAGGTCTTGTTTCAGACCATCCTTGCCTCCGCAGAGTTGCACAGAAGGAAGCTGAGGGTATGTGCTCTCAGGAAGATTCCATTCAGGCTGGCATAGAGTTAGGGGTGCAGTGCAGGTTTGGGTGACGATGCAGGAGGAGCCAAACTTGGACCTGTTCAGGGTTGGGAGATTTCTTTCCATTCTGGATAACTTCTATTTCTTTTGCCTTATTTTTGTGCCAAGATCTGCTGTACTATACTGAGTAGAAGTCAGAATGACCACCCTTGCTTTGTTCCTGATCTTAGGGAGAAAATACTTCATTTTTCTCCATTTCAATATGAGATTTGGTGACTTTTTTTTATAGACCCTTTTTGTCAGGCAGTCAAGTGGTTTTTAGGGTGAGCAAAGCTGGTAGAGCTTCCTCTCTTACTACATAGATTATATCAACGAAAGTAAAGACAACAGAAGAACCAGAACCTAGGTGAAGATAATAACGCAGAGACACAATCCATGTGTGTACCACTTACAGCAGTTACCGACTAACATGGAACCAATTCCTTGATTTCTTAGTTACCCTCTTTGGAGACTCCTTCATACACTGCAATTTACAGTCCCCTGTAGTCTAGACTGGGATTTGCTACTTCTGAGCGACCAATCATAAATCTTCCTTTAGATTCAAGTGCCAGGAGCTATAACTCGTCCTTGTTTACCACCTAGGATCCAGTGGGCGAAAGCAGGGAAAAAGCCCTTCCATCTGATACAAGGAATCCTTCACTATTTGTGGGGGGAAGGCAGGCAGGAAATGTGTCGGTATAAAAGGGAAGACAGCCCAAGGCTTGATGGGCTTTTCAAATTATTGAGAATCTCCCACTCTAGTTAGCACCAAGTGCCTATCAGGCCAAGCAGACACCTCCAGTAAGGAAAATGAGCTGATGCAGTCATAGAAATGCATGGAGAGACATGGAGGAAGCACCGTCAGAGGATGAGGTACTCTCTTCTAGGGACTGTGCAGATAGAGCCAATTCCTTGGCCTTTATCTTCCAGGACTGTGTCTGGCCATTCCTAAGAAAAATGTTCGATGGTGTACCACTTCATCTTTAGAGGGTGTCAAATGTGACAAATTCCAATCACAAATGAAAACAGTGAATAGTCTCTTGCTCACCTGCGTAAAGAAAAACTCCCACCGTCGATGCATGAAGGCTATTGCGGTAAGTAAATGCCACACATAGGGAGGGCCCAAGTGGGATAGCAGGGAAAGGAAGGGAAGGGAGTGGAATAAAATAGGAAGCATGCTCTCCCCTGTGGCCTTACTGGTTGGGTGTTTGTGAGTAAGGAGCTGAAATAAACTTTCTAAATTAGATAGCTCATGTCTGGGGAATCTGGCATCTCCCCTTAAATTATTAGTAGGTATGACACAGCAGCAGCAGCTATATTTGGTTCAATAGATAATTCTGACAAAAAGTCAAGGTTACCCTAGGGGAAAAATCTGGAGAAAGATCTTAGCCTCTAAACCCTGAGAATTGTTATCACCTCATACTGCAGGGAGAGGGTCCACCAAGGCACTGGGCATTGCAAAGATAGAGGACCTTTCAGGTTCCTTTGGGGGCAGGGTGGTTCCATGTGGTGCCAAGGATTGAACCAAGGGATTGTGCATTCAATGCATATGCTTTAGCCCTTTGTTTTGTTTGTTTGTTTGTATGTATGTTTTTTTTGCTTTTTGGGTCACACCTGATGATGCACAAGGGTTACTCCTGGCTCATGCACTCAGGAATTACTCCTGGCGGTGCTTGGGGGACCATATGGAATGCTGGGAATTGAACCTGGGTTGGCTGCGTGCAAGGCAAATGCTCTACCCGCTGTGCTATTGCTCTAGCCTTGCTCTGGCCCTTTGAGCCCTTCTCCTTTCTTTTGTTATTTGAAGTGCAAATCTGAAATAAATTATTATACAACCAATACATTAAACCAAGGCTCGACAAAGTTAAGAGAATGTTTGGTGGGTTAGGTGAATAAAGCAATCTATAAACTATGAATTGTGAATGGAGTATGTGAGCCTGTAAAGAATAAGCTCAAGAGGACAAATATGGTTGACCATGATAATTTTAATAAATCTTAATATTTGTATTTTCTGTTCCATAAAAAAATACTTAAACAGGACATAGAGAAAACCAGGGGTGAGAATTGTCAAAACAACTTTAAACAGGAATGTTGGGGAAGAGCACCTGGGTAAGGGAGGTGGGTGGGCAGGCATATAATGGTGGGCAGCAGCCCACCTCGGGAAGGAAGTTGATCGGTGACCTTTGCACCTGGGTAAGGGAGGTGGGTGGGCAGGCATATAACGGTGGGCAGCAGCCCACCTCAGGAGTGAAGGAAGTTGATCGGTGACCTTTGTTCCCTTGGACCTCGGTGTAGGTCACTTGTCATGAGAGGATATGATGATCCTTCATAAGATCTTCCAGAGCTTTCTGACTTCCTGAAATCCCAGTTGCCTGGGTTTGGGACAGATTTTCTCCTACAGCTTGTCTGGCCTCTGGTTTCAGGAAAACAAGGCAGATGCTATGACCCTCGACAGCAGTTTGATTTATGAGGCAGGCCAGGATCCCTACAATCTTCGACCTGTCGTGGCTGAGGTCTATGGAACTGAAGCAGGTGCGTCCAACTTGGGGATCAGGAAGTTGGGGTGACTTGGCCTTGACTAGAAGCTCTGAGGTATCAGAGTGGATGAGTTTTAGAGATGGGATCTCAGGCAGCCAGTTGAAGAGCTCTAGCTGGACTTTTAGGTCTAGATACTGGCCCATAGGGTGGGGAGGAGGCCATGTGGGTGTCCCCTGGGGACAGAGCAGGCTCCCTGAGCACAGGGCAGCAAGTGTTTCCCTGTCTCACAGGGCTTAAAAGGGATGACTCCTTTCTCTCCTGGATCTGGGCTAAAGGCTTTCCGTCCTTGCTACCCCTTTGCAGAGCCGCAAACCCACTACTACGCCGTGGCTGTGGTGAAGAAAGGCAGCGGCTTCCAGCTGAACAACCTGCAAGGCGTGAAGTCCTGCCACCCGGGCCTCGACTGGACGGCAGGGTGGACTGTCCCTGCGGGCATGCTGCGCCCCTTCTTGAACTGGAGCGGGTCACCAGAGTCCCTTCAGGATGGTCAGATGGGGTCGGGCAGCTGGGGATGATCTTAGGGCAAGCATTTCCTGTCTGGGTACATACCCAAGCCACTTGGTGATCCCCAGGCGAGGGGACGGGGGGATGAACCCTAGGCTGGGTTGCACGGGGAGGGGGTGGGGTGCTTAGCCAGCAAGAAAGCAGAGCCAGCAGCCTTTCCAGATGTCACTGGGGGCTGCTCAGGGGCTTCTCTCTGAGTTCTTGACTTCTCACAGGCTAGGCGGCGGGGTTGGAAGAAGGGGCTCTCTGCCCGACAGCTGGGGTACCCACCTTGGGCCAAGCTGCCTCACACAGTTTTCTTTCTTTGTGTTTACAGCTATTGGTGGGTTCTTCTCTGCCAGCTGTGTTCCCTGTGTCAATGGGAAGAAGTACCCCAATTTGTGTCAACTGTGTGCAGGGACCGGGGCCAATAAGTGTGCTTGCTCCTTCAAGGAACCATACTTTGGCTACTCCGGGGCCTTCCGGTGAGTGGAGCTGCCCTCTTCTTTCCAGTGGCCCTGGTGCCTTGTATACTCAGGCCAGGAGAACTTTCCTTGGCCCTAGATAGATCAGAGCCTACTCTTGGGGCCCATGGAGGAGGCAGACGTCTGCTGCTGCAGTGGAGAAACTGAGGCAGCGAGGGTGCTCACTTGGACCCATCCTGCTCCCCTCTAGCCTTCTGGCCCCCTTCCCTCTACATCAGCCTGAGGAACCGTGACTTTGGCTGTGGTCCTCCTGCTGGGTCTCACTTGGCTGGTGCTGGGTGGGTACAGATGGGCCTTTCCCAGGGGTAGAATTTTCTCCTACCTGGGCCTCTGCCCTACCTGGGCCTGGCCTCTCCCATATACGACCTTTTTTTTTTCTTTTCCTTTTGGGTCACACCCAGCAATGCTCAGGGGTCACTCCTGGCTCTGCACTCAGGAATTACTCCTGCTGGTGCTTGGGGGACCATATAGGATGGCGGGGATGGAACCCGGGTCGGCCTCATGCAAAGCAAACACCCTACCTGCTGTGCTATCGCTCCGGCCCCATACACGACCTTCTTCCTGAGCCTCAGAGCCAGTTGCCTTCCCTGACTGACCTCAACTCTCTGCCCTCAATCCCGAGGTATCTGCTGCTCCTCTCACTCCTCACTCCTGGGCACAGGCGGTTTTGTAGTGAGACCTTCAGCTTCTTGTCCAGGCAGTCCTGTGAGAAAGAAACACATGGACAGGAAACCAGAGGAAGCCTTTACCCTTGTGACATTCTCACTTTAATATAGAAAGACCAAAAAAAAAATTGCCCTCTCAGCCCTTAAAGTGCGGGTGTGTAGGTGCTTCTGGTCTGTCTCTGAGTCTGGCTTCCTCAGTATCTACCTGGAGGGAGCCCCTGCCAACTGCCTTGTGTGATGCCCCGAAACCTCTGGCCCCAGGAGAGCAGCTCCAGAGAAGGTAGCAGGAGGAAGTCTCATGGGATTGTGGTGCTGACCTTCTGGGATGTCTGTTTCACAGGTGTCTGAAGGACGGGGCTGGACAGGTGGCGTTCCTCAAGGATACCACAGTGCTACGTAAGAACGGGGAGAAGACTAGAACTGTTGCGCCTTTTACTGGAGCCTAACTCTGGGAGCTGAGCTCGTTGGATTCCTCAGTTGTCGGCACCCCCTTGTATCAAGGTTCCCTACAGGACGCAGCTCTTCTCTGATCATATTTCCTATTTCAGATTATCAGTTGTCTTGAATTCTCCCCCTATCTTTCTCATCCTCTCCAGGACACCTGTTCCAAGGTACCTGACATGTGTTCTCTGAGATGTATGTGTTCTTCCACAATTGACTGTGGTGATATGTATTTCACACTTTCGTTGTTAGAGATTAGCCTCTGTTGTTCAGTGGTTCTGACAGTTGAGGAATGCTTCAGGGAACATGTCTGTGAGATTTTACTTATATACCACTCCAATAATGGATTATTGTCACCCTATCCTTACCTCTATCACCAGTCCTGTGATTCATGTACAACCCTTATGTACAACCACAGAGTATCTTATGGGAGAATGCTCCTGAAGGACCACACATCGAAACATCTATAGACTGAACATAATTTACTCAGGCCCACAGGAGACAGGCCACCACACCCACCAAGCCCATGAGACAAGGCCTCTATACCCACCCTGGACTATTAGGTCACTCTGAGGAATCAGCATACCCACCAGCACCCTGTATTTCTCATTTTTCCATTACTTCAATTTAGGGTATTTTACATTTACTTTTTATGCAAATGATATAATCAATTTGCACATCCTTAATTAGGATGATGTACATCTGAGACCTATAAAGCTGAGTTTATAGATACTCTCAGTGTAATTACTATAAATCAGAGTTTCTCTCATTTTGTAGTCTTCTATTATTTTTTGTTGTTTTTCTGTCCACATCTGGTGGTGCTCAGGGTTTTCTTTTGGCTCCGAGCTTAGGGAAGGTGTTTGTCACTTTACACACTCTGAAACAATTTGTAGATGATACAGATGAATAATTCCAAGTTGGGTTGAATTCAGTTATAACACAGTCATTTCTATTTTTTTTAAATATATCAGTGTTGAGAAATCACTCAACTATATTTTCAACCTTAAAACTTTTTTTCTTTCCAGAGACCTGGGTCAGGTAGGTAGGCCTCTTACCCAGGCCTTTTCTCCATGAGTGACCCTTTTCTAGGTGAACTTGTTGTAGAAACAGATGTGGTGGGCCCAGTCACCCTGACTTGTCAGGTGCAGCTGCCAGAATCCCAGGACCTTTTGACCCTGGCACCGAACACTGCATTGACCTCCAGGGCTTTCCCTACCCTGTCTTTACTTTTTGGAGAGTCTGGAGCGGCTGTCTGTCTTCCTGCTGCTCAGTCTTACCTCCTCTAAGCGAAGTCTTCTTCAACTCTCATTCTGTGGTGCAGGTGAAGGTCAGGGTCACTGCCTGCAGTCGGCTCACCTGATCTCCCCCTTCCCTTAGAGAACCTACCAGATAAGGCTGAGCGGGACCAGTATGAGCTGCTATGTCCAGACAACACCCGAAAGCCGGTGGATGCATTCAGAGAGTGTCACCTGGCCCGCATCCCTTCGAATGCAGTGGTGGCCCGAAGTGTGAATGGCAAAGAGGACTTGATCTGGAATCTTCTTCAGAAGGCACAGGTACTCTCACTTCTGGTTCTCCTCACCTGCTCTCATTTGAGCGAGTGTGGTTCCTTCCCTCCTGAACTTCCTGTCTCTCCTAAAGTCCTTCTGGAGCCTCTCTGGGCTTCTGGGTATTTTTAGATACAGTAGCCTGCAGCCTAGGACACATCCAGGACATTCTCGAGACATTGAAGCCTTCTGACATGGCCCACTGGAAGTGTCTAGCTGGCTGGGGCAGAAGCAGGGGAGGGGGCATATAGAATATACTCATGGCGCCAAGGTTCTGGGGCCCTAGCAACTTGGCAGCTTTTGCTCCAGGGCCCAGGAATGGCATGAACTTCCCTGTGGAAGGACGTTGTCTCTGACTCATCACAAGGCTCCAGGTTCCCTTGTTCAACACTGATTTTCCTTGGTTGCCTCCCTACTTACTTTTGCCTGCTTTACCTTAATTAGGAAAAATTTGGAAAAAACAAGTCACCGGCATTCCAGCTCTTTGGCCCCTTCCGTGGGAGGAAGAACCTGCTGTTTAAAGATGTCACTGTTGGCTTTTCAAGGGTCCCCTTGAAGGTAGATGCTCAGTTGTACCTCGGTTTCAGCCTCCTCAGATTCATCCAGAACCTGAACGGAAGTGAGTGAGGACCTGCCTGTGTCCAGAGGGCAGGCTGGTGTGATGTGGGGGAGGAATGGGCAGGTGGAGTTGGGGGTGAGTGAGGGGAGGGGCCTCCCAGAGAGCACCTCATTCCCCCTTAGTAGGCAGCAAGATTCTGCTCTGTCACGGTCACTTTATCTCCAGGCCACAGGAGGTCTGACACAGGTGTGAGTGTCTTCTGTGGACCGAGTCAGGTCTTGCAGACCCTGTAACATGGGGCTAGGAGGGTTGTCTCCAAGATGACCGCCACCTGGTCAATGCTGCCATATGTTCCTGTCCTCAGGTTCCCCTGCCCCATGAGAAAAACCAGTATCAATCTAGAGACAGGAGGGGTGGAAGTGGAACTGGGGTGGGGGACATTGCTCCGTGCTTGACCCGGGAGACCCAGAGGTTCAGTTTAGCCACTGCTCTGTCTCTGTCTGGGGGCTTACAGGGTGCTGCAGTTAATGGTGTTCATTACTGGGCTGGGGAGGTCAGGGCAGTCATCAAGGTCCCTTAGGCCATTGAGGGAGGCTGCCACTTTCCTGGAAGTTTTTCCCTGTGGCCCAGCCACGTTAGGGGAGTCATTCCACTAAGGATGGGAGGGTGGACTCAAAGCCAAGAGGAAGCTAAGTGAGAAACTAAGGGGGCTGTGGATATGCTGAGAGGGGAGGGGGAAGGCCAGGCCCCCCTGCCCCAAGCAGGAGGAAGTTCCCTCTGGAGCAGGAAGGGCTGTCTGAGGGATTTTGGTCCCAGGAGGCCTGGGATGGTGCCCCCACCAGCTGTGTACCTCTGGCAGAGTTCGATCGGCTGAGGGAGCAGAGTAAGCTCCTGGTGTGGTGCGCCGTGGGCAGTGACGAGGAGCGCAAGTGCAAGCAGTGGAGCACCCAGAGCCAGAACACAGTGACCTGCACCGTGGCTGCTACCTCTGAGGACTGCATCGCTGCCGTGATGGTGGGTGCCGCCTGCGTGCCTGCCTGCCATGTGGGGAGTGAGCAGGAGTGAAGAGGCGTGGCTGGCAGGGCCAGTGAGGGTGACCTGAGCATGCTTACACGGCCTGTGCTCAGAAGCTGTTCTTGAGTCTAAGAAAACCCTGTCTACCTACCACTGCAGGAAATGGGGGGAAACAAAGCTAGGAAATTAAAATTAAACAAAAGGCAAACCACTGCAATATTTCACAAAAATACACAGTGTGGACAATCTCCCACTCAGGGATTTCACAGCCCAGCTAGGGAGCTGTGTTGTACAATCTTGGACTGACCAATGTGGTTTTTGAGTTCTTTACTAGGGTATCATAGCCAACTTCCTCTGTGAATATTCTTTTTTCACTCTCTTTTTTAAAAAATTGGCTTACTGGGGCTGGAGCAATAATACAGTGGATAAGGCACTTGCCTTGCTTCAACCCCTGGCTTCCTATATAGTCCCTGAGGACAGCCAAGACTAATTAATTCCTGAGTGCATAGCCAGGAGTAACTCCTGACCATCGCTGGGTATGTCCCTCAAAACAAAAACAAATAAAAGATAAATTTGATTTATTTAGAAAATTTGAATATAATTTTTGTTTTGGGCCATACCTGGTAATGCTCAGGGGTTACTCCTGAATCACTCTGCACTCAAGAATCCCCCTGGTGCTCGGGGGACAAAATAGGATGAGTTGGGATCGAACCTGCGCCCTACCTATGCTGTACTAGCTCACTGACTCATTGCCCTGTGACTACTCTTTAAAAACATGATTTTAGGTTGTTTGTACATGGTCGGAACTCTGTTTAGCTCTTCCACCATTCTGCACAGCTCCTATTTATGAGCCTGACCTGGTATATCCTTGATCCATAGCTCCAGTTATGGAGTATAGGGATTGGGGTGTAAACAAATTATTACTTGACTGAGGAGGGGAGCTTTGCAGCCTGGTTGAATTCATGCTCTGGTGTTGGAGTCAGGCTGTGTGTCCTAGTGGTGAGCCAGTGAATCGTTTCTGCTTATTTGTTGACCACCCTATATGGCACTTGGAATGTCATGTCAGTGAACTGAGATCTGAGGAGAACCTGGGCGCCATCTTCCTTCTCATTGAGCCAGATTGACCAAGGAGGAGCCCTGAGAATGCAGGGAGCACAGTCAGGGGTTTGCTCAAAGCACAGAGCGAGCACCACATGTGGTTGGTCCTCTCAGTGGAGGTTACAGGCTATGACAGGTGAGGTGTGTGGGCTGGGCATGGAATTACTAGAGTGAAGGTATTTCCTTAGAGGGCTGAGTTCAAACACTGCTCCTATCTGGGCCCCTGACAGGCTCTTCTCTTCCAGAGGTGTAGAAGCGGAGTGACTGGACAGCTTTTCTAGTGCTCTGCTATGTCTTTGCAGAAAGGAAATGCGGATGCCCTGAGCTTGGATGGGGGTTATATCTACATGGCGGGCAAGTGTGGGCTGGTGCCTGTCCTGGTGGAGAAACGAAGTAAGTGGGCCAATGTCCCCCCTTGGCTTATTCCCTTTGTGTCATGGGGTGGAGACTGGGGATGGAGAGAAAGCAATAACCCTACTCGTGAGTGGGTCCAGGTTAGGGTGGATACATTCAGATGAGAGAGAGGAGAAGGCAAATCTCAAAGGGCAGAGTTGCCTCAGAACCTCTGGTATTGAGAACTGATGAGGCATAGAGTAGCCATCCATTCCATTTTATTTTTATTTTTTATTTTTATTTTTATTTTTTTTGCTTTTTGGGTCACACCTGGCGATGCTCAGGGCTCTGCACTCAGGAATTACTCCTGGTGGTGCTCGGGGGACCATATGGGATGCCGGGGATCGAACCCAGGTCGGCCCCATGCAAGGCAAACGCCCTACCTGATGTACTATCACTCCGGCCCTTATTTTTAATTTTTTTAATTTTGTGGTCACGTGGAGATTTGGACCATGCTTGGTTGTTTGCCAGGCAAGCACCTTACCTGCTGTACTCTTACGAGCCCTGGTCTTAATCTAATTCTTAATTAAGATTTTGTTTTTCCACTAAAGTATGATATGCACACAGAAAGGGGCATATCATGTACACTTCCATGACAATTCGCCTGCTGGTCCATTCCGAAGCACAGTACCCAGGTTAAGACACAGTGAGCCTCACAAATGCCCTCATGCCCTTGGTCATCAGCCTCTTACTGGAGACTCCTGGTTTTAAGCCACACAGATCAATTCTGCTAGTTCTGGAGCTTGTGTGAGAGGCATCATCATAGTTTTTTAAAAATTTTATCTCTCATTCAGTGTTATATTTGTGCTGTTTATCCCTGTGAGTGTATAGCTCTGTTCAGCTCTGTATACCTCAGTCGAATATGAGACTATTCTACTGAGGACTCTGCCATCGTAATTGATTTGTCCAATGGTGGCTGGGCATTGCTTTAGTTCCAGTTGGTGACTGTTGTGAACAGAGTGGTATGAACAGCTGTGCCCATGACTCTAGGTGAGCCTGTGCCTGCATTTCTGCTGGGGCAGCCCCTTTGGATCTAATTCTGCATCATTGTGGGGCCTTGACAGTCTGTGACATCTCAATAAAACCTAGTGCTTGGGCTGGAGTGATTGCATAGTAGATAGGACATTTGCCATGCATGTGGCTGACCAGGGTTCGATCCCCAGCATCCCATATGGTCCCTGAGCCCGCCAGGAATGATATCTGAGTGAAAAGCCAAGGGTGTGACCCAAACAAACCCAAAAAACAAAGTTAAAGACTTTTTTTTATAATTCTTTTAGAATCCTCCCAGACGGACTCAGATTGTGTCAATACCCCTGCGGAAGGTGAGTCAGTCTTGTTGGTGAGTCACACTTTGGGGGGCTCACACTTGCTCTTCATCGAGTTTGTAGCCTACAGTCATTGCTTTAGTAGCTCACACATAATGGGAAATTGCTGGTTTGTAACTCAGGGGGTGGCAACACTGTGTGGTTGATTCAAAGACAGTCTCTGGCAGTCATTTAAAGGCTCGACTCTACTTAACCATCTTATTTAACAGCCCTGTGCAATCTCACATTAACATAGAGCAGTTTTTGTTCCACACATTTGTTGGTGCTCTGTGACCTATTTTGGCCCTGGAGTCCACACGCCAGAGCCTCTGGAGGAGTAAGACTTGCTCTTTGTCATCCAGGCTATTTCGGTGTGGCGGTGGTCAGGAAGGCAAACACTGACCTCACCTGGAATTCTCTGAGAGGCAGGAAGTCCTGCCACACTGCGGTGGGCAGAACCGCAGGCTGGAACATTCCCATGGGTCTGCTCTTCAACCGCACCGGCTCCTGCAAATTTGGTGAGGAACCTCGAGGAAGGTTGGGCTGGTGTTCTGGGGACACGTCCTGCTGTGGAGCTACAGGGGAGGGGACCAGAAGGCTGATGGGGGCCATGTTTGTCTTGGGGTAAGCACCGTCTCCTCGAGTCATGGAGGGGTTCTTGGCATCCTACTTCCCAGGTGCCTCCCCATCCCAATCCCCAGGTAATAAGCCCTCCTACATCTTGTCTATTCCTCTGCATCCTAAGAATGGAAGCAGGTGTGGTGAAATCAATGATATTTCAATTTTTTAATTTAATTATGTTTGGCTCCCGGGAAGTTCAGATCTGGATTCCTTCTGTCACTGGCTTCCTAGTTTGGGGGAAGGGACCAACCTGTGCCACGATAGGAGACTTATGTGACTAGACAGATTGGTTTCCCACTCCACACAGTGACAGGACTGAGTCTGACCTCAAGAATCCTCGTCCATTCTGCTTCTGGGGCCTGTCACTGCCCTCCCCCTCCCCTGCCCCATGTACACTCCCTCAACCCATCTCACCTGGGTCAGATTAGCCTTGTCTACCTGCTGGCCACTCCCACTCCCCTTTTACTGCCCAGTCCTGTCCCATAGCTCTACTAGCCACTGGGCACTGAGACTTGATGCACAAAGAGCAGGCATCCAGGTCAGAGGCTGGAACCTCTGACGGGGCGAAAGGGGCACACATGTCCCGGGGAGCAGCAGGTGTCCGGGAGATGTTCTGACATCACCTCTAGTCTGGTGCTGACTGGGGGGAGGAGTGGGGCTGGGTGGGGCTCATGGATGGGGGATGTGTCTGTAGTGGTGATGGATCTGTGTTTCTGCGTATCCTGGCCAGTGGTAAACTGAAGCAAGTGCCTCGGCCTGGCAGTTAGCCACGAAGGGGACTTGGGAAGTAGAACACTTCCCACATTCCTTCTTTGCAGCTGAATACTTTAGTCAAAGCTGTGCCCCTGGGGCGGACCCCAGTTCCAGCCTCTGTGCGCTGTGCATTGGTGACGAGCAAGGCCAGAACAAGTGCGCAGCCAACAGCAATGAGAGATACCATGGCTACACGGGCGCGTTCAGGTGAGTGTCCATCCAGATGCCTGTCCTTCAGCAGCTTGTTGCTGCACCCAAGGGACCGGTCAGGGCAGGAGCAGGGCTTACCAGCTGTCCAGCCAGCAGTCTCAGGGCTGTGCCACCTCCTTTCTGGCCACTCCACCCCAGGCCTGGAGCCGCAGTAACATCTGTTGGCCTCCAATTCTACTAGTTAGAGGATGTGGTGTCTTTCTGTACTTCCCATAACCCCTACCCACTCCCCCAGTCTAGGTTTTAGATCAGGTTTTGCTTTTCTCTTTATACTTGGCATTTGAAATGGCAGCAAAGGGTGTATTGCTGCATTATTCTCTGAAGTGAAAAAGAAACCAAAACATATACTTTCAGAAACCAAAACATACGCTTTCAGAATCCACTGATAACCCGGAAGTGCTTCGTGGGCACTCTGCATTTCCTGTTTTATACAGTCCTGTTTCTTAGGGTGTTGCTTCTCAGAGACACTGTTAGGGTTTGCCTGGCACAGTCTTTATCTACTTACTGCTGGCCCACATCCCTAGTCTCCAACCGCCAACGCTAAATCTCCCCAGAAGATGGCGCTGTGAATCTGCACTGGACTGTGGCCAAAATAGCCCTGGAACTTCCTGCCATCAGCTGAGGAGACTGGGACCCTCCCATGGGTCACTGGTCACTGTCCCCTGAGTGTCTAGTAGAATGTGCAAAAGTAATTGTTAAGGGACTAAGAACTTGCAAACAGAAAGGTTGTGATGTGATTCCTCTCAGAAATATCATAGTCTCATGTCTGATGAGGAATTAAAAATCAGTAGTTTCTTTATTTTGCAGACCAACAGCAAGGTCTTATTTTGCTGGAAACATCAACACTTTAGTATTGAGATTTATACTTGAGAAAGCACCTCCAAATTTTGTTCAAAGAGAAAGCTGGCACCAGAAGTCTTACCTCTATATTTATTTTGCATGTTTTTAATTAAAAATTAATTAAAGAACTGTGACAGAGTTGTTGATAATGGCATTCAAGCACCGATCCCACCACCAGTGTCAACTTTCCTCCACCAGTTAGTTATCTCTATCTGTCCAGCGTATTGCTGATTCTGAATTTTGAACAGTTAGCTATTTTCTGCTACCTTTCTATTGCAGAAGAGTTAGCCCCACAACTCTCCCTATGTCCCTCCCACCCACAGTCACAAACTGCATCTCCATTTTCTGTCTAGCAAGAGGACATCTTAATCCATGCTTGCATGGTTGCGAATACGAAAATATCACTCTCTGTTAAATGTAGTATAATAACATGATATTTCCCTAGAAATCATGGTCTTTGTCTTTTTCATGTGTCTATGTTTTAGGGCCAGGAATGTATATCACAAATATTTATGCAAGCTTGAGTGACTTCTCTCCTCTGGTGATGTTTGTTTTTTGGACCATTTCAGGTGCCTGGCTGAGGGGGCAGGAGAAGTCGCCTTTGTGAAAGACACCACTGTTGAGCAGAACACGGATGGTAGGTGAAGATGTTTCTATTCTCCCTCACCAGCAGAGCCACGGGCCTCAGCCAGCCTGGTTATCGGATTGGCATTTCTGAAGCATAGAAACTTCTCTAGACTTTGGCTCAATTTCATTCAGAGATTATTTACTTCAGCGTACAACATAGTGTCAGCTATCAGTATCACACTGATTTTGAACTTAAATATTCTTTCCTTCTCCTCCTGCACTTCCTCCTTCTCCTCCTCCTCCTTCTTCTTCTTCTTTTTCCTATCCCTCCCTCCCTCCTCTCCTCCCTCCTTTCCCCCTTCTCTCTCTCTTTGCTTCTCTCTCTCTCTCTCTCTCTCTCTCTCTCACACACACACACACACACACACACACACACTTCCTCTTGTCCATCCTCCAAGCTTTCAGAAGGAGAATTAAAGCCATTTATGTGAATTTGGAATTATTTCAACGTCAAGCCCACAAAGCCAAGATCTGAATTAAGTGGTGAGGTCAGAGGGGCAGACAGACTTGGCCTGACAATGAATATTTACCCGCACACACACAAAGACATGCACATAATCACATTTCAAAGTATGAACCCTTAATCTAAGTGCTCTCCAGGGAGCAGACTGCTATCAAATTTAATTTTAAGCTTCACTGGTATTTTATTGGAACTGACTATCAACATAATAGGCTTGACTAAACACAGAAGTTCCAATCTTTCCTCTGGTTGCTCAAAGGGCATTTGAATATGGAAGGACACAATTTCTCTTTGAATATCAACCAGTTATTTTCCCTTTTGAACTTGCTGGAAAATAACACACAGTGGGATGATTTTTTTCTTAAGAAAAATGAGCTTCTTTGTTCAACGTGGGTTAGATTCACAGCCTGTCAAACCCACCGTCCCAGAGTGTGCATCTCAGTGGCATCAGCACCTCTATGGATTGTGCGACCACGCACACAATCGCTTCTTGAGCTGGACAGCCCCGTAAACCCCTGCATGGATTAGCATTCGTGTCCACAGCTGAGCAGGATTCCCATCTCCGTCCACACTCATTTCCGTTTTCTGGAACATTGCATATGTGGAGCCCACATTACAATCTTTGGTGACTGTTTTCTACCTGAGCACCACGTGGTCAAAGTTTATCCGTGTGGTAGAGGTACTACATGGTAACTCACTGGTGTGTGTGTGTGTGTGTGTGTGTGTGTGTGTGTGTGTGTGTGGTTGGGGGAGGTGTCCACTCCTGGCAATACTCAGCCTGTCTGTGTGGGTCTGATGGTCAGATTTTTGACTTGTGACACAGAGTAGTTTGGACTCAGAGGTGCTGGGGGCCCCCAGATCTACCCTCGGTGGTGCTGGGGGAGAGAATGCCATGCTTTACCAGGGATTTTGCATGGGGCCCCATATTGGGCTCTGCTCCATTTCATGCCTCCCTTCATGCCTTTTCATGGCTGGTGTACTATACACTCGTCCAGTGTAAGTGTCGTGTCACAGTGGATAGACTTGCAGTTATTATTGTTTGTACAGGATAAATCTCCCTTCTCTTGCTTTTCTTTTTCTTTTTTCTATTTTTTTGGGAGGGGCACACCCAGCAGTCCTCAGAGACTGACACTGTGCTCCACTGACAGTGCTCCTGAGGCTATATGTGCAGCTGGAGATCAAACCGGGGTTGACCAATTCAAGGCAAATGCCTTAACTTGCTGTATCATCTCTCCTGCCTTCCTTGCTTTCTCGATGTGTGGTCACTGACCCGTGGCTGGCCACCGTCAGCTGGCAGGGACCATTTCATATAGCCTGGCTTCTTTCTCGTCCCAGGAAAGAACCCTGAAGCATGGGCCAAAGATCTGAAGCAGACGGACTTTGAACTGTTGTGTGTCGATGGCAGCCGGAAGCCTGTGAGTGAGGTGCAGAGTTGCTACCTGGCCAAGGCCCCTGGTCATGCGGTGATGTCTCGTAAAGACAGAGTAGAATTTGTACGGAAGGTGCTGCTCCAGCAGCAGGTAAGAAGCGCCAATCCCACCTGGCCTTTCTGAACTCAAGGTGCCTATTTGGTGGCTGTGGCATGAGGCAGGGGCTTGGTTCCCTGCCAAGACTTTTTCTCTGCCTCCCTCTTCTGGCAGTGAATGGATGACAACATTTACTTCCTGCTGGGGGACTCCCCAGGCCTCCTGGAGGAAAGGGAGGTTTCCTGAGCAATGCTAGGCTTGGCAGAATATACCTATCACCTGCCCTGGGTATTGTGTCCCATGACTTGGGCTCACTGCACTGTCTGGATACAGTTACACTTCCTGTCCCTCCTATTGCTCTTCAAATGAGGGACGACAATGAGCCTTCTACCATAATGCTGAGTGTGGTTTGCTCAGAGGATATGAGGCCCGAGCGTGAGTAATGTTCTAGACAAGGCCTCTGCATCTGAAATCTCTACCCAAGGATCTATAGGGCGAAGAAAGTTATCTCGGGCAAGTGATTTGGAGGAAATACTACAATTTCCTTGAAGTGTGATTTTCATTGGTGCTTTGTTGGACCTGCAAGCACCATCCCTCTAGGTCACCTGGGATGGGGAAGAATTGGTGCAAACGCTGCCATCCTGCAGAGCCCTTTCCTGGGTACCAGCCTGGGCTTGTTGGAGTTCTGCCATTCATATGGTGTTTGGTTCTCACTCAGCCCTCCTGGGCATGGAGCGGGGACCCTGGCCATGGAAGACCCAGGGAGCTGCCCAGGGCCACGATCAGGGAGCGACAGGCTTTCCACTGCGGACCTCTCCCTGGGCAATCTGGTTAATCCCAATGCTGGAGGTTATCAGCTTTGGGGGACAACCTTGAAAGTCTTCACCTTGCACTGAGCTGCCATAAGGCCTGTGGGATGAGGTCGCAGATGCAAAAGAAAGGACCCAAGAGCAAAATGGAGACTAAAGCTAACGCTGCTATAATAGAACAGAGAGTAAATTTAAGAGGGCAAATCCTAATAGTTTTCACCACAGGAGAAATAACTTTTTCCTTTTGCTGTTTTGGGGCCCCTGTATCTGGCCGGGGGCCACCCATGGTTTGGTGCTTGGGGGTGACTCTCAGTGGCTCTCAGGTGACCATATGGTGCTGGGATTAAACCCAGGGTTCTGGCATGCAAAGCAAGTGCTCTAGCCTTTTGAGCTAAGACCTTCCCAGCCCCACAGGAGAAAAATCTTTTCCTTTCCTGTTCTTTTTATTGTATCTATGTGAGAAGGCTAGAACTGTAGCACTGTCCTCCCGTTGTTCATCGATTTGCTCGAGTGGGCACCTATAAGGTCTCCATTGTGAGACTTCCTGTTACTGTTTTTGGCATATTGAATATGCTACGGGGAGCTTGCCAGGCTCTGCCGTTCAGGTGGGATACTCTCGCTAGCTTGCCGGGCTCTCTGAGAGGGACAGAAGAATCGAACCTGGGTCGGCCTCATGCAAGGCAAATGCCCTACCCGCTGTGCTATCACTTCTTGGCGTGAGAAGCAGGCTAGTGAAAAATGGCTAGCATTTCACAATATATGCAAATCCAACCATCATGCCCTATACCTTAGATGTATATGCAGTGTTGGATGGTGGTAATGGTCTCTCAGTAAAACTGGGGAGAAAGAAAGGGGGAAGCGGGGGAGGTGAACTCAGCAGTGGGGTAGTGCTTGAGTGCTCACTGCACAGGGTGGGTCCTCCAGCAGGGTGTGGGCACAGAAGGGCTCGGGTCAGGGAGGACTCAGCTAAGGTGACTGAGGTACTCTAGAACTCAGCTGCTGTGGCTCCAGTTTTCCCAAGCTAGTCCTGAATGGGAGCAGTGTCAGTGTGTGGTCCCTCCTCATCCTTCTCCTCACCTGTTTCCTTCTGCCCCTGTGCAACAGGCTCTGTATGGGAAAAACGGACAAGCCTGCCCAGGCACATTTTGCTTATTTTCATCTGAAACCAAAAATCTTCTGTTCAATGATAACACTGACTGTCTGGCCAAGCTCAAGGACAATACGACATATGAGACACATTTGGGAGCTGAGTACATCACAGTTGCTGCTAACCTGTGGCAGTGTTCCAACTCTGGTAAGTGGAGGACGGCACCCCTGGGAAAGCTCTAGGGATGAAGGTCGAGGTGAGAGGGGCAGCAGCATTTTCTAGGCCATGAAAATGGGTGTAATGATGAGGCCAAGCGATGCCTTGTTGTGTCAGGCAGCTGCAATCTTACTGGTGAAGGGAAAGAATTAGAGAATAAAAATAAGCAGTCCGTAATGACTAGGCTCAGTTTTTATAATGCGGAGAACAACTATTATGAGGGCATACAAACTAATTTTATACAGTAAAACGAAGTGTCTTTCTTGATGTGTATGTACATATACATATAAAGACATGTATAAACAAATTATAAGTAATAGTTTAATTTTCATAAATACCAATCATAGAAAAAGTCTCAAAACAGTTTAGCCAGAAAAAATATTTTGGTAATCATTGCTACTTTAAAAACACATAGGAAGACTTGCTGAATGTTCTAAGACTCAAGGGAAACTGTTCCTGTTTTTAGGATGCGCCACCCCCCACCCCTTACCATGTACTGGGACATCCAGATTTCTCTTCTTGGCTGGCCACCCAGAAGATGTGAGGCTTTGGTGTGGCTTGGGAAAGGGGCAAAAGTCTCTCTATCAGTGCTTCTCAACCAGGCACAATTTTGCCCCCAGAGGAATATTTGGCAATGCCTGGGTGGGGCTGGGATCTAGTGGTAGAAGCTGAAAAGAAGCCCCTAGCCAAAGCACAGCAGAGCGCTCACAAACTAGAATCACCCGGCCCAACATGTCAGTAGCACCGAGACTGAGAAACTCACTCTGCTTTATGTCAACTGGCATCTTAGGGAGTTGGGGCACAAGTGGTCCGAGGACTCTACTGTAAGAAACTTGGCTGTTGGGCTACTCCTATGAGAAACACAGTCCACTGTGTCCCGGGCAGGGTCTCTGTTCATCTGAGCCCCCAGTCCTTACCACAGCAACGCATGCAAAGCAGAGCTCAGCGAGTGTTTGCAGATGAGTAGCAGTGAGTGGGTGAGTTCTGGTCTGAAGCACAGTTGCGCAGAGAACTGTATGAAGGTGATGTTGTGAATTACTCACCTACTCTCCTTCAGAAAGTTAGAGGACTGTCTGTGCCTTGTGAATTGAGTGTGTGATTCTCTTGGTGACCAGTGGGGTGTGGTGCATCTGTGTTCTGGGCTACTCTGTGTGTCTGTGGTTCTAGTCCTGGGGCAGTGTAAGCGAGGGTGCTTTGGGATAATCTGTGTAAGTATGTTCCTGGGTTGGCTCATTGTTCTGAATCTCTGCTTTGCTGTGTTCCCCAGAGCTTCTGGATACCTGTGCCTTCCTGGGCAGCTAAGACCCCAGAAGACAGCTCCCTACAGGAGCCTCGATCCTTCGTCTTCGGTGTCCCCCCAAGCGTGCTGGGACTCCTTCTTCTGGAGGGTAGAAGCGTGCCACTTTCAGCTGTTTCCATAATTCTCTGCTATCTCCTTACAAAAAATGAAATGTTTACTTAAACATCATTGGTTTTCATTCATAATAATGCATCACTCATCACTCACTTTTTTAAAAAAATTGAATCACCATGAGATACAGTTACGTGCTTTCATGTTTGAGTTTCAGTCGTACAATGATCAAACACCCATCCCTCCACCAGTGCACATTCTCCAACACCGATGTTCCCAGTATACCCCCCTTTCCAACTCTCCCCCTGCCTCCATGGCAGACAGTTTACCCCATACTCTTTCTCTCTACTTTTGGGCATTATGGTTTGCAATACAGATACTGAGAGGTTTTCATGTTTGGTCCTTTACCTACTTTCAGTATACATCGCCCATCCTGGATTGATTCCTCTAATCATCATTGTCTTAATGGTCCCTTCTCCATTCCAGCTGCCTTCTCCCCCAGCTCATGATCATCAGTCACTTTTTAAGAATTTATTCTGAAATCCTCTATTAGACCAAATACCCGCCCAAGTTTTCCAGGTCTCAACTTCTCTTTCCTGCAGCTGCAGTGATGAGGCCCTGTGGTCTGGAGTATAAGGACACGCTGACCACTATGTTCCTTAGAACACTGGCTGCTTGTTGACAACCTTTTCTCAGTGTGTGTTTGTGGGTGGGTCTGTGCATGTATGTATGTGCATGCGAGAGTGTTGGATCCCCTCTTGGTACTGCCCATTGTCATATCTGGAGCAATGCCTCTGAAGCTTTCTTGCCTCAAGGAGAATCTCCCCCAGATGTTTAATCAAGAGGGTGGCATCGTTCAGATGGCTCAGAAGCAGTGCCAGCAGAGGATCCAACATGAGAGGGTGCAGGGTGTGCCTGCAGCATGTGAATGTGTGCATGTTGGTGTATGTGCACATGGAGTGTGTGTGTGTGTGTGTTTGCAAGAGAGAGAGAGAGAGAGAGAGAGAGACTCTGTGAGTGTTTCTAGGGTTGGGGAGACGGTCACAGTCACGGTCACGGTGACCCTGTTGTTCATCGATTTGCTCGAGCGGGCCCAGTAACATTGTGAGACTTGTTACTGTATTTGGCATATCGAATACATCACAGGGAGCTTGCCAGGCTTTGCCGTGCGGGTGAGATACTCTCGGTAGCTTGCTGGGCTCTCTGAGAGGGGCAGAAGAATCGAACTTGGGTCGGCCATGTTGGCTGCATGCAAGGCAAACACCCTACCCGCTGTGCTATCGCTCCAGCGAATAAAAAGTGAGGGATTGCCAGAAATGATATCAATGATATCAAGAAGAGGTATATTTGATAATGGAATGAAGCAGCCTCCCGAGTAGTAAATCTTCACATAGAGACATTTAGGAAAATGTGAGCTGCTGCTTGCCCTTGACCTGTAACCTTGAATCACTATTTTTGGGCGCTTTTTTCTTAGCCAGTCTCTTCAAAGCATACTTCCAGAGAACTGTCTTCCCTTCCTTCAGCCCGTGGGAGGTGGTGGGAGCGCTCTCTTCCTCTCTCCCTCCTGTAATTCAGTTCTCTAGTAACTCTAGCACAGGACACTCTGCTCTTCCAAGTTTCCCTAAGGTTTTGTAAAGCGGCTGCAACCTTGCTCCCCGCCCCCTGACCCCCGCCCCACGTTTCTCTTTTCGATGCTGTGAACCACACGCTCCTTGAACTTTCCGCTTCATATAGCTTCTCCTGCTTCCCTCTCTCCCTTTTAATGCATTTTGAGGGTCAAATGTGATCCTGTGAGTGCATCCCTCAAGACTTTCTTCTCTGGAACTTTGTTTTGGACCCACTGACTCAGTGCTAAGAAGGGACACGAGCGGAAACTCTGCTTTCTGCACAAAGGGTGAACATCAGCCTCCCGAATCAGTGACTTTTCTCAGGAAGAATTATTTATCTGATATTTATACTTTCCATAGACTCCTTCATCCACAACTGTCAAAATTTGAGATGGCAGTTCTTTTTAGCTCAACAGGGATGTAGCACAGCTAAAACTCAAATGCAGTGCTGGTGGGAATGGAGGAACAGTGTGGACCTGACACCCACAACAGGGAGGTGGGATAAATGACAGCAAAGAAGCCTAGTGAATAAGGAAACAGTTGCCACTTCACTTCCACTCTCCAAATCTCTCTCAAGAATCTCTTCTGAAATCCATCTTAACAAGAAACATGCAGAATTCTAGGATTCAGCCTAGCCAAGTTTTACTCATTACAAAGCCACCACACTCTCTACAAGGAGATGATCCTGGGAAAACAATTCATCATTAGCGAAAAGTTCTTAAGAATGATGTTTCTTATACATTAAAGTTTAAAGTAATAAAATGCTGTATTAGGGCACAAAGCTTAAAAAGCTTAGGTATATCAAATTAATTGATTTTTATAATCTTGAGAATATAGGCACTTGGGACATTGTGTAGAGGAGAGGTATTTATAGAATCTAATGAGTTAAGCAGACAGTAAAACCCTTTGCAGCATTGAGGTGCAGCTATGAAACATATGCTTGCAAAAATGAAAACATCTGCAGTAGGACAGTAAAATGTCAGGTGACACATGAACTTCTATTTTAAAACTCCAGTATTGGTATGTGGTAGCTAATTATTGCTTTAGTCTTTTCCATGCTCTCTACACCCTTCATCTCTACAAGTCTATACTCACTATTCAAGCAGCGACCACAAGACACAGATGTAGTTATTTATTTCTGAATAGGCTAAATCTAATTAATGCTTCCAATTTGTGATTGCAAAAGCAGTTAGAACTCTTATTCTAATAATAAAATGGGCCATTTAATTTTTCTATGATATCCCAATGAAGATATAAACCATGTACAGGAAGTATTCCCTGTTCCCCACAGTCACCTCCTCTCTCTTGGTTTCCTTCAGAACCATGAATGAATGCCACCTCTTTCTGGGGGACTGATGGTGCACCTGTGTTTACCGAAGTCTCTCTTGACCACTCCTTATCCATCCTGCATCCAGACTTGTCTAGTTTATTCATAGGTTCATTAGCAAGCCTGTGCCCTCCAGTCCTTCAGAGATAAGTCTGGGCACAGAATGGGCATATGCATGATTTTCTTCAGATGGACTTAGCATAAGTTTACATTCACAAATTATGAATGGAGGGTCTGCTCATTTGAGGATCCTGGGACAATTCCTGAGGCCTGGGATGCTAGCTATATCTGCACCCCCAGGAAATTTGAGGCAAATTTCTTTAAAGGGGTTGTGGGAAGGGCCTTTGCTGAGGAAGCCACTCATAGACTCACAGAGCAAAACTGCTGACTAGATCAGTAGTCACAAACAGAGAAAAGCAGGTTCTGTCTTAGGTGAGCTAATCTATGCTCCCTTGCTCCCTTGTAAACAAGCAAGAATGGACAGGACTCAAAGCCTTCAAACAATGGTATTAGTCTTGGACCTGGAGAGAGTGGGGAGTATCCTGACTGGAGGAGGAGATCTGTTAGAACTCTATGACAGGCATCATCAGGCTGGCTGCCCTGCGGGGACGTTCTCTCTGGGTCCCCAGATGTGGGAAGCAGAGGAGCCAGATGGCTTATGCTAGGTCCCACGGGAAGTGACAGACACCCCTTTTCCACCCATTCGCTGAGCAGGAATGATAGAATCGTCTCAAGCAACTAACCCCCCACTCAAAGCTAACGGTCACACACAGAGAAAGATCAAGAGATTTAGAGTCTTGAACCTCAGATCAAAGCTTTTCTTGTTAGATGTACCAGAGATGCTCTTGGGAGAAGAACTATGCTTCTCTCTGTGGCTATAAATGGGTTGCTAAGGGGAGCAGTGAATACAGGACCCCCTCCATCCCCAAGCCTTTGGACTGTTATCAAAAATCTAGTGCACGAATAGAAGGGGACTTGTGTAGACAGAGCCCCGTGGTTGCACAGAGCAGTGGTTGGTGGAGATAACATGGGAGAGAAAGAAGAAGAGCACAAGACTCTGGCAGAGTCTGGGTGCTGGCACCCAGACATGAACACCATGTGACTACAGCCTGTTTTCACACTTCTGAAACAAAGCCCATTGGTTCCATTTCCTTTGAAGAACTTGCTGCACTGCTCATGTGGATGTCTGGGAAAGCATTCTGTAGAGGAAAAAGTCCATTGGAATCGGACAGGGATCAGGAGCAGGTTTTTGGTGGAGAATAACATGGACTCGCACGGTCACAGCACATTTAAGAAAAGGAACCAAAGAAGTTTTTTGCTTAATGGAAATGTCAGTTTATCTCGTTTCCTGGGTTCGATTTTTTCCCCCAACTTCAAATGTTGTAGCTTTCTCATTCACTGCATCAACTGTGCTTCCCATTTCCAAAGTTGTTCCCCTAAATATGTAAAATTGACATCAAAAGAAGATTGTTCATAAGATTTCAGTCTTTTTCTCCGATGATCCAAATCAGGATGATCTTGACCTGATAGTACTTTTTCTCATGTTAGAAAACAATTTACAGAGACAGAATGATCATTCAACCGGCTGGAGCACATGCTTTGCATGCAGGATACATGGGTTTGATTCCAGCATCTCATGCCTTGAGCACCATCAAAAGTGACCTCCTAAGCATCCAGTCAGGAGTAGACTCTTAGCAGCATCAGGTGTGGCCCCAAAAGCAATACTAAATAAATAAATAAAACGAAAACCAATCTACAGTTTAAGCCAGAAATTCTGTCCGATTTCCTTGAATACACTTTGGCCACTCTCTTTTTAGATTTTAGTTAGTTTGTTTTCTGGTGCAATAGTGGTAAAGGATGTTCTACTTTTCTCTTTAGAATAATTACCCTGTTATGACAGAGGAGGAAGATCCTGTTGGACTATCAATTATTAATGTTTCCAATACACCTTTTATGTGTGTGGGCAATTATAGCTGACTTTTTCATCACAAATCTTTTATTTTTCATAACTGTTTAACTTTCAGTCACAGTAGAAGTTTTCAGATCTTTAGCTTCTATACATTCTATGATTTCAACCTGAAAATGCTGATAAAATCATTCTTTGTCATCATGGTGTTTATAAACATCTGCGAGAACCATTTTCTCAGAGATTTTCTCAGTGATTTCTCCTCCACATGTGGTGGAAGTGGGGGGCAGAGGGGAATCCAGAACTTTTGGCATAATTTTTTTTTCTTTTTGGGTCACACCCAACTATGCTCAGGGATTACTCCTGGCTCTGCATTCAGGAATTACTCTTGGCAGTCCTCGGGGAGCCATATGGGATGCTGCGGATTGAACCTGGGTTGGCTGCCTGCAAGGCAAACACTCTATCTGTTGTACTATTGCTCCAGCCCCTGTGGTATGATGAGAATTTCTGTCTCTTTTCCTTCACTTCTGAAAACTCTTTACCCTCTTTCCATATATTCTGGGGTACTTTCTTTCAAGATTTTGCTTCTGATTTCTCATGCTGTTTTCATCTGCTACTCAATGTCAACCTAGATGAGCCTCATCTGCATTGGCTCAGGTTTCCATAATAAAAATACCACAGACTCAGAGGCTTGAACAACAGACTTTTCTTTCTCAGCGTCTGGGTGCTGACAAGTCCAAGATCAGGCTCCCGTGCGGTTTGCTTTAGCTCTGGCTCAGAGATGCTTCTCATCTTAAGATGCGTAGGTAGATGATCTTGCTGCGTGCTCAGGTTGCCCAAAGGAGCCAGCTCTCTGGAGTCTCTTCTTGTCAGCACACTAATCCCATCACAAAGGCTATATTCTCATGACCCCAGGGGAACCCTCATTAGCTCCCCAAAGTGCTCTCTTCCAATACACATGGGGTTAAAACTTCAACATATGAGAGTCTTGGAGGCTGGGAGACATAGTTTATCTTTAGTACCCACCAAAATGGGCGATCCAGAGCTGGCCATATAGACAGTACTCCCCACTGGGCCTCCCCCAGTGGTTTCCTCTTTGTGCTCCCATCTTGGTTGCGGTCATGAGAGAATACATAGCACTCTTATTTTGTTGTCGATTCTACTTGGGACGTGTAGCAGAAGTACAGTGCTGGGTATCTCCAGGCAAACACTTATTGTGCGTCCACGACAAGTCAAGCTATATAATATAATGGTGGATCTTAGGTTTTACATAGTCTTACTGAGGCTTAGTAGGCCTGTGATGAGCCATATATCTAAGCCACACAGTTTTGTCAGCTTTGGAACACATATATGCCAGTGAAGCCATCTCCATGACCAAAACTGCAGACATATTTACATTCTTAAAATTTCCTTGTGCGCCTTGACAACACTCCTTTCTCTTTTCCACTCAGCACAGCCTCAACAACCATTGATTTGCATTGTTCCTGTGTAGTTTTTCCCAGAAATTTCTAGAAACAGGATCAACTAGTAAACATCTCTTAAAAAAAAGTACTCGTCATTTTATCAAAATTACTGGCATATAGCACTGCACTGCACTGTCCTCCTGTTGTTCATCGATTTGCTCGAGCGGACACCAGTAACGTCTCCATTGTGAGACTTATTACTGTTTTTGGCATATTGAATATGCCACGGGGAGTTTGCCAGGCTCTGCCATGCGGGCAGGATACTCTCGGTAGCTTGCCGGGACAGAGGAATCGAACCCAGGTCGGCCCCATGCAAGGCAAACACCCTACCCACTGTGCTATTGCTTTAGCCTACTGGCATATAATTTTCCATAATAGTTTTTTTTATAACTCTGTAGTATTTCTATACAATCCATTGTAATTTATGACAAGTATTTCTGTGGTTTTGGGGTTCTGCCTGGTGGTACTTGAAGGCTACTCTTGCTCCATATTGCGGTAGGGGCATGGGGACTGAGCCTGGTGCTCCCACATGCAAAGCAGTTGTTTCAGTCCCTTGAGCCATCTTCTTTGTCCGTTTTTCCTCATGTTTGATTTCTTTCATTCAGAATTGTCATAGTCACGCATGTTGTTTTGCATAACAGTAGTTTCTTCTTAATAATGAGTCAATTGCCATTTTGTAGATATGCTACTCCTTACTAATGCATTCATCTTTCAGTAGACATTTGGATGGTTCCAATTTGGAGCCCATTGAACACAAAGATGCTATGAACATAGAAGTCTTACAATGGACTCTGTGTGTGTGTGTGTGTGTGTGTGTGTGTGTGTGTGTGTGTGTGTTTGGGCTATATTTGGCAGTGCTCAGAGTTTCCTCCTGGATCCACACTTAGGAATCACTCCTGGCAGGTCTCGGGGAATGATATGTGGTGCTGGGGATCAAACTCAGGTTGCTTGTATGTAAGACAAGTGCTCAAATTGCTGTATTATTTCTCTGGTCCCTGACCCATGTTTTTATTGCTCTGGCTAAATACTAAAGAATGCAATGGCTAATAGGTACACAATCAGTAGTTTTCTAAATCTGGAAGAACCAGATTTTCCCCAATTGTCTGTCACAATTTACACTCCCACCAGCCGTGTGTTTCAGCAATTCTGTATCCTTTTGGGCAAAAAAAAAAAAGCCATTTCAAACTTTACCATTAGTTGCCTCCCCTGCACCCCTCTCCCCCTTTTTTCATGGTAATTCCAAGCAGTCTCCTCTAGATCCTCTGTTTAGGAAAAAGTCCTGAGTGATTCATTTGAGTCATCTCACCACCATTGTGACCCCTGCAGCCTCCCTGGAGTCAGGCCCACAGCTTTCCCACACCCAAAGAAGCCCCCAAAGAAGGGGCAACACAGTGAGCAGCTCAGCAAAGCTGAAGTCATTGTACAAATCCTTTCAGTCATTTCTTCCAAACTCACGGCTGCCTCATTGTCCTCTGCCACAAGGGCACCCTCACTTTTCTGAACAAATCCGCCCTGATGCTAAACTCCATTTCTCTTCAGCACAAAACAATCCCTCCACAACCACCCACCCTCCCGTTAGCCAGCCGCCTTCTCCTTGGAAAATTGCTGCCCGGGCCGACCGTATGAGTAGCTTCTGAGGAATTTGTTAAGGACGAGATTCTTGGCTCCCTCCCCAGACTTACCAATTAGAACTTCTGAAAGGGGCCCTGGCAATCTGCACATTGTAGTGTGTGCAATGTCCCAGACTCACTGCCCTGGGACATGGGCCAGGGCTATCTGCCATGACCGCCACATGTCTCAGAAGTCCCCTTTCCTATCCTACTAGGCTTTCTGTGTGATTCATCCAGCACAAATGAAGGCCTTCAGGTCAGGGTGGCATGCAGAGGCTTCTAATGTTCAGAAAACATTTTCCTCAGTTCAATAAAAAACCAATCCCCAACCACTTTTCTTGAAGGAAGGAAGAAAAGGCCCAAACTCAAGCTCTGGGTGGGTTCCGTGTCACTGAGTATCTGCTTATAGGCATCCACTTGAGGTGGGAGGGAAGGAACCTCCTTTGGGCAAGGGGGAAGCCCACGGCATCCCTGCAAGGTGCTGCAGGAGGGAACAGCGTAGGCTTGTGTGCGTGGATGCAGCGGGGTGGTGACTAGGTATGCTTGGCAGTCATCACACTAGGCCTCCAAGTCTCTTCTGTGCAGGGAGGTCGCAGCAGCCTGGTGTGGATCTGAGGACTCAGCCGTGAGCAGTGACTGTGGCCCATGGCAACAAAGAGGAGGTGCTCTCCAGGCCTTTGGGACAGGGTCGAGATCATCAAGGGTCCAGTGAATACACTGTTCAGCACTGAACCAGTGACAAGGCTGAGCAGGCTTCACACAGCTGGGGCCCAATGGAAGTCACCATGCATGAGAAGTTGGTCTCCTGCTGAGGTGGGAGCTGCCACCAATGCAACCACAGAAGGAAATGAGCATCGTCTCATAACCACAGCCTGGTGAGTCCCAAGACACATGCCACACCCCAAAGGACAAAACGAGCATCATGGTCAACACTTCTAAACATGGTTTATCTCTACCGTGAAAAAATGTGAGAAAGAACCAGCTTGGGGTAGTTAGAGGCCTCAAGACTGTGGTGATTATTTCCTCTGAGCAAGGGACGGAGCAAGTCACTTTACCTCTTTATCCCAAGCCTCCAATTTTTTCAATGACTATAGGAAAACGCGTCTGGAAAAAACCTTTTATTTATTTTTTGGTTTGCTTTTGGTTTGGGGACCAACATCACTCAGGGTTATTTCTGGTGGGCTTGGGGGACCACATCGGATGCTGTAGATCGAAGCTGGGTTGGCTGTGTGCAAGGCAAGTGCTTTACCCACTTTACTATCTCTCTGGCCTTGGGAAACGGCTATGTGAATGGTTGCCTCTAACCAGAATGTGGCTCAGTTTTGCTCTTCCGCACCTTTTGTTGAACATGTTTTCTTGCCCCTTTGTTGAGAGTGTGGTATGAGGGATAAAGCAGAGACTCAGGAGCAAATGGCTCCTGTGTCTGTGTCCTTACCCTGTAACTTCTAGCCAAATGTCTGAGCCTGTTCCCCCCTGAGAGAAATAGGAAAATAGTTCTAATTCTAACCTACATCTCTGTGGTCAAGTAATGAGAGAAGGAGAAGCCTGTGTTTGAGAATAGCGTGGTGTCTCCAAGTCAATTCTCCGTAAATGTTTGCCCCACTGTTCCCATTTGCCTTTCGACTTCTTATTTTACACGCAAATATCTAAAAAAAAAAAAGATACAAAAAATAATGAAATGAGACAAAAATTAATTTATTGCTTTTTAATAGGAGCCATACTCAGCAGTGCTCTGAGGTCCTGCAGGTACTCAGAAGACCCTGGGCTCCGCATATGCTCCACTGCTTGCATCCCCTCCCTGGTCCGTAGAGAGCTAATTTAGACATGAGAGGAACAGTTGGATTCTTCCTGGGAGGTGTCTTGTGCAGGTTCCGGGCAGGCCTGTTGTGGAGAAGCTTTACACAGGTGGCAGAAGTGTGTCCTAAAGGCCTTGTCCAGAAATACATAGAGGAATGGGTTGATGCAGCAGTGAGTGGCGGCCACAAGTTTTGTTACCTGAACCCCCTTGTCCAGTTTGAAGGTGGTCTGGCAGTCACCCAGAGAGAAGTATTCTCGGAACGTAGACAGAAAAAGTGCAATATTGTAGGGCCCCCACATCAGAAGGAAACCCACCATGATGGCAAAGACAAGCTTGAAGAGGTCAGACCTTCTCTCATTGTCCCATAATGTTTTCCTCATGCGTGCGTAGCAAAACACAAAAGTAAATAGTGGGAAGAGAAACCCTAAGATGTTCATCTTCAAGGTCAGAAAATGCTTCCAGAATGGCTCCTCAGCAGGCAGGAAGGGAGGCCTGCGAAATGAGCACACATTTCCCTGACCTTCCCTGGGAGGCCTGTAAAATAGAAATTCAGGCAAAGTGACCAGAATGACAGTGACCCAGGCCACAGCACTCGTGACAAGACCGCAGGGCACCGTCCTGGCAGCCGGGGAGCATCTCATGTTGAAAGCCACCAGGTACCTCTGCACAGTCAGAAGGATGTTGCCAAGAGCCTGGCTGTACAACCCCAAGGAGTAGAAGCCCACGACGGCGGCACACATGGAGTTGCCAAGAAGCCCCCCGTGGCCGGCTGTGTGAGCCCAGAATGGCAGAGCCAGCAAGAAACACACATTGGAAATGGCCACGTTGAGGAAGTAGATGTTTTCCACATGTCGGAGTCCTTTATATCTCATCAGGACGAGCACCACCAACATGTTGTCCAGGAGACCCACCATGAACACCGACAAGTAGAGCTGGGGGACCAGCTGGGCTGAGAGGATGCTGGCGTTGTACTGCTGGCAGGGAGGAGGCACTGGGTTGTCATTCAGACCATCCTCGATGAGCACGTCATAGTCGTCCTCAGGTGCCTCCGTGGAGTTAGCCATAGGCCAGCTGCCCTGTGGGGGACACGCAAAATTATTCTCTCTATCCAACCGTTTGTCCCTGGAGGAAGCAAACAGGGCATGTGCCCCGGCTGTCCCACTTTCTTTGCTCCGAATTTAAACTTTGGCCAGAGCAGGGCGACAGTAAACATCTCTCACATGCCCCTCCCGGCCCCAGAGCAGCTGCTTTCATCCATCTGTGGTGCTGACACCTCAAAGAAGAGAGAGCAACTGTCCACAGTTTTTCAGAGAACTCGAATTTGACCTACCTGAAGACAACGTGTCAGGAGAAGACACAGGCGCTGAGATCAGAAGCCAGGGCCGTGGTGTAGGTTCAAGAAATTGGAGTCAGTCACAGGGGCGGCGGCCGTGTTTAGAAAGCTAGCTCACCCCAATGCAGCTTCTGTGACAGGCTGAGCGGTCCAACTTCCCACGAAGGACGTAAACAAATTATTTGCAAAAGTGAAACTGTCCCAGCAGCCACTTGGACCTAAGGGGTTAAATACATCGAAGAGTTACCACTGGCCTTCGGGCAGGGGGGAGGGTGCAGCCTCCTGACCTACCATCCAAGTGGCTGTGGGAATGTCCCGGGAGGGCGGCGGTACCACAGCTCCCTTCTGAGTGGCCTGCTCTGACCCCGCGGGACAGCAGAAGCCACTGTTTTTTTCAACTCGAAGCTCTACCCACCCATCAAGGCCTCAGGGACTCCCCAGATTCAGGCAACTTGAAAGCTGCCCCAGGCCCTCTGGGTTTCCGACAGCCTCTGAGGGAAACAGGGAAGTTGTTTTCTCCTCCAGCTTCCCCTGGACCCCGCCTTTGATTTCCCCACTGGCCTTTTCACAGTCCTCCTCCTGGCGGGGCAGATAAGGGAACTAAGTCAGTGCTGTGCCCCTGTGATATCAGTGAGGCGGGAGTGGGGTGGGGGTGGGGGTGGGGGGATGCGATGTGCTTCTATCACAGGCTCTGTCCAGGTGACAGCTAGAACCCGGAGACAAGTCTGACGCCGGGCTTCCCCACCACCACCCGGCTCTCCCGTCCAGACCCCGAGAGATGGCAACATCTCAATCTGCATGAGCTGGACCCCACTCCCCTTGTGGCCAGAACATACCACAGAGACTCCAGGGAGCGAGCAGTGTATGTCTGGTAGTTTATGGTCTGGTGAAGAGATGCTGTGTGCTTTGGATGAGGGGTGGGGCCCCAGGGAGGATGGGGGAGAGGGGTGTCCAATGGGAGTCACAGAGCCATGTCAGCTGGGCTGGGGTGGGGTGGGGGGGGCGGGCGATGGTGCAAGTGAGTATGAGGCTGTGAGGGTTATGGGGAAGTAGACAATCAGAAACTGAGGAACCAGGCAGGCTGCGAGGCCTGCACCCTACTTCCAGAGGAGGTCCCAGGCAGGAAAACTTCATGGCGAGATCACCGAGGTGTCCTCACATCTTGACTGAAAGAACGTGAGGGGAACAAGGTCAACCTCAGAGGGTGGTGGAGGCAGGGGCGAGGACAGTGAGAGGAAGTAGAAAAGCTGTATTTGGAGGTAGCGGCGGAGGAGGGAGAAGGTAGCTTTGGGAAGGAGGAAATGAAAACTGAGAAATATGTCTGAGCATCTCCTGATGCACCATGTCTGTGACGGACCTGGGAGACAGCTCAGTATTCAGAGTGCTGGATGAAGGGTGCTGGTTTAACCCCACAGAGGAGTCTAAGGCAGCGTTCAATCTCTTCAATCCAGAATGTGGCCCTGTTGGAATAGAAATAGAAATGAGGATACTATTCAGAGAAAGGAAGAATAAATAAATAACCAGGGCCCAGCCAAATATGCGATAAAGTATTAAATTTAACTCAAAGGAAACGCCAGGGTGCCCCCTCCATGGAAGGGCTGGTGCTGATGGGAACCGGGGCTGAGACTGTTTCCCAGCAGCTCCACAGCCCCTTCCCCATGTGTAGTTCTGTGACATGGGAGGGTCACCGTGCCCTGGGAAGTTCCGCTCGTGGTTGTGGTCCCCACCCTGGGTTCAGCAGTGGTCCTTCCTCCTGAGGATCCATCTTGGATGACTGAGTTATCTGAGGTTCTACCAGGGCCCTCCTATAACCTTGAGTGAGGAATTGAGTGTGGCCGGTGAGGTCTGGTGGCCTGAGGTTCAGATGGGATTTCCAGGCCGGGGAGGAAAGGTCAAGTCAGACTTTGAATCTTAGAAAACTGCATGAATACACATATTACATCTCAAGGGGTATGTGGGAACCCAGAAAAAGCAGGCGACAGGCACCTCATCTGTCACAAGAATCATATGAGATGCAGTTTCCCAGGGGAAATGTGAACTTCCTGATATTAGTTTGGCCTTCACTTTCAGTATGATTTTATGTTGGCTTCATTCCCAGCATCTTATTCTTCACATGCAGGCCAAAATCCTAGGCTAGAGTAAGGTTTTATAGGGTTAGGGTTTAGGTTTGGCTCTGTTTTAAGCTGGATATTAGAGTTAGGTGTAGGTTGATCGTAAAATTAGGCAAAATATTTGGTTTAGTCTTAAGGTAGGGTAAGGTTACTATTAGGGTTAAGGTTAGGATTAGAGTTGGGGTCTGTTTGGGTCAGAGTTTAGGTTTGGCTATGCTCAAAGTTGAAAAAGAAAGTTCAGTATTGGGTGTTTGTTAGTTTTAGGCTATTCAGGAGTTTTAGGGCTAGAGTAAGGTTCAATAGGGTTAGGGATAGGATTAGGTTAGGAATATTGTGGGGTTTCGGGTTAGGAATAGGGTTTAGGTACAGTTATGCTCAACGTTGACAATGAAAGTTAGATAGAGGGTAAATGTTAAAGTGAATATAATTGGTAAGTTTTTGCATAGGCGGGGTTAAGGTTTAGTATGAGTTTGAGTTAGGATTTGGGTCAATGTTAGGATTAGAGTTTAGTTTTGTCTATGTTCAAAGTTATAAATGAATATTGGTTATAGGGCGACTGTTCAGTTTAGGCTAATAGTAGAATGAGATCTATGCTGGGGTATGTAGGATAGGATTAGGGTTAGGTTTTGGGTTTAGGTTAGGGTTAGGCAGCATGTTAGGGTTAAGGTTTCAGTTAGGCTCTGTTCAAAGTAGAAAATGAAAGTTAATTTTAGGTTGATTGTTACATTTAGGATAATTGTTAGATTTAATTCTAGACTGGGCTGGAGTGATAGCACAGCGGGTAGGGCATTTGCTTTGCATGCAGCCAACATGGCCCACCCGAGTTCGATTCCTCCACCCCTCTTGGAGAGCCTGGCATGCTACCGAGAGTATCTTGCCCGCACGGCAAAGCCTGGCAAGCTACCCATGATGTATTCAATATGCCAAACACAGTAACAACAAAGTCTCACAATGGAGACGTTACTGGGCCTGCTCGAGAAAAATCGATGAACAATGGGAGGACAGTGACAGTGACAGTTCTAGACTAGGGTAAGGTCATTATAGAATTAAGGTTTTGGGTAGGGTTCCTATTAGGATTAGGGTTTAGGCTTGGCTCTGCAGAGAATTGAAAATTTTATATAATATTATTCAATTTAGACAAAATGTTAGTTTAGTCTTAGGCAAGGGTAAGGTTATTGCAGCATTAGTGTTATTATTGGGTTGGTGTTTTGGAAAGGGTTTGGGTTCCTGATAGGGTTAAAGTTTAGGTTTGGCTCTGTAGAAAGTTAAAAATGAAAGTTAGATATAGGGCAATTGTTAAATTTAGGCCAATTTTTTGGTTTAGTTCTAGGCTAGAGTAAGGTTATCTATCACAAGGTTAGGGTTAGGGTTAGAATTAGAGCTAGAGTTTAGGTTTGATTATGATCAACTTTAAAATAAAAGCTTGGTATAGGGCTATTGGAAGGTTATCCATTGGATTAGAATATCTAATTCACAATGTTAGAATAAATGGAAGATTTAGACCTTGGCAAAGGTTAGTATAGGATTGGCGATAGGATTCACAAAAATCACAAATCATCCTGTTAATCGTCGATTGCCTCGAGCAGGCCCCAGTAACGTCTCCTTCATCCTAGCCCTGAGATTATATTCAAGGCTCTTTAGGAGAATGAGACCCATCATTGTTACTGGTATTTAGCATATTGGGTACGACACAGGGAGTTTGCCAGACTCTGCCGATAGGATTAGGAAATCCTAATTGGTTAGTGTAAGGATGAGGTTTTGGGTTAGGCCAAATATTTATTTTAGCCATAGGCTAGGAAACGCAATTAATAGGATAGGGTTGTAGTTAGGGCTATTGAAAGGGTTAATGTTTTGGCTTGTCTATATTCAAAGATACAAATCAATATTAAGAATAGGGTAATTGTTAAATTTAGGTTAATGCTTGATTAAGGCCTATGCCAGGATACATTTAGTGTCAGGTTAGGGTTAGATTTCTGGTATGGGTGAGAGTTAAGAAGATTAGACTTTATGTCAGGTTAGAATCAGATGTGATCGTTAATCTGAACTTCTGTACCTGGCTGGGAATCAACCATCTTCTCTGGACAAAGTTAGACCCTCCAGTCAAGAGTGGGATGTTTCAGACTCATTGATGTGGATAAAAGGAAAAACTAGGAGCCAGAGATATAGTACAAGGGGTAAAGCAGACTCCATTCAATCCTCAGCACCACATATGGTCCACAAAGCATCACCAGGAGTTATTCCTTAGTGTAGATCCAGTAGTAATCCCTGCACACCATCAGATTATGGCCCCCACCACCCCCAAGAAAGGAAAAGTTGAGGCCAGAGAAATAGTGAAGAAGGTTAAGGCACTTGGTTTATATGTGCTACTTCTGCTGACCCTGGTCCACCCCCCTAGCACTGCTTATAGACCTCTCAGCATTTCTAGTAGTCACTCCTGAGCAAAGAGCTAGAAGTAGCCACTGAACACTTTCAGGGGAGACCCAGTCCCACCTAATTAATTTAAAAAAATAAGAGAAAGCTGCCCGTGACATCCAGGAGCACTGGACACTCACAGCTAGGTTTTCACCAAGTTGACCATTCTGTTGAACCATTCTAATTTCACAAAATATCCGCATCAGACAGTGACGCAGCAAGACAAAACCAGGCCACTCTAAGGATGCTGAACACCAAGCACACTCGGTGCTCTACGGCTCCCCTCCTCAGAGTCTGCGTCTGGGTCTCCTCCTGGGAACATCAGGCGCCGCTCCCAGTCCTTAGCCTTCAGCCTTCCTGCCAATCCTTCACTCTGCTTTGCTGGTCTCCATGCTGCAGGCACCAACCCGGGCCCAGCCCCAGCCTCACTCCACAGGCCGGTGTAGCTCCCCTCAGCGTCCCTCGCCTTGCAGTCTCTAAGCTGATCAGTCCTTTCCTCCCACCTCTGCCATCCGTGACCAGAGAGATATTATAACGCAGTTTTAAAAGTGAGGGGGGGGAGCAATAGCACAGCAGGTAGGGCGT